CTCTGAGTTTACGATTTATACTTATTTTTTTTTTCTTTTTTTTAGTTTAATTATTTTGCATTCAATTCCATTTAATAAATTCATCTCTTTATTTTTAAATCACTGTTTTGATAGTTAAAAAGTCTCATATATTCCAAACTTTTATTTTTTCGTATCCTGTTTAGTTAATAACCGTGTTTCCAATTCCCGGTTCCATTGTTTTGGTTTGTTACGGTTGGTTTTTATCACAATGAAATTAGAAATGCAAACATTGAAATTAGTATTATCTATTAGAAATGGTCATTGTTTTTCTTCATTTGCCGACAACATGATCGAACAATGTTTCTACCTTATTCCCACAGGAACATTGTTACTCTCAGCGAAATTCCTCTTCTATGTTTCTCATCTTGTTATTTGCCTTAATCCCTCTTAGCGATTGAGACTGTCAAAACTAATTTGATCAATTGATTGAGGGAACAGTTTCTGCCTTAATCCCTCTTCCAAGACTTTAATTCTCTTGTTATTCTACTGATTCGTGGAAGGTTAAAATTTTTCCTATTTTGAAATTTGTTTTGTTGATGTTGAGATTATGTGTTTATCGTTTAATCTATTTGTCCGGATGCGGTTTTGTGAGAAATCTATAACTCTAGGTGATGCCAACTGCTCCGCCAAGTTTCCAGAGACTCAGAGATGTCTAATTTTACAAAATTATCGCCTTTCGATGGACGTTATTGGGGTAAAGCTAGACTTTGCCTCTTCAATGAGCGAGTTTGGTTTTTATCAATTTCGGAGTAGTTGTCGAGGTATCTACTTCTCATCAAAGTGAAGGTTTATTATCTAATTTATGATTTTGTTCTTTTTTTTTGGACTTATTATTTGCGAGTTCTTTAGTTGTCTAAAGCTCTTGTTTTTTATATATTTTGTAGATCAGATTGCCTCTGTATCTTTCTAAAGTCTCTCAATTCACCGAAGTTCCATGCTTTTCAAAAGATGGTGATGTGTATTGCAATTCATAATCGATGTGTTTAGCATTGATGATACATTGGAAGTAATAAGGTTGAGAGAATAGCAAATGATGATGTGAAAGCTGTGGAGTATTGCTTGAAACAAAAGTGTGAATCACAGCCAGAGATTGTCAAGGTTGGTAAACTTTCTTTCTGTTCCACCAAGTACTTAGCAATATTAGATAATAGTCTTTAGTTAAAAAGTAGAAGGATAAGAATTGGATAATAGTCTTTTAATCGAACATTAGATCTAGTCTATCTATTATAGCATTGCATGTCTTTGAACTCAGCTATTGATCTTGGAGAGAGAGAGTATTGTGAGACGCAGTGAGATGAGATTTTACGGTTTGTAGCAGAATCTAGAAAAAAAAAGGAAGAAGATGCAAGAGACCCTTTCTCGACGATCTTTGATATTTTCTTTTTTAATTTTTTTTTGTTGTGAGATATTTTCATGAATTAACTTAAAGGGGTGTATTGGAAAATGGATTTCAAAGATTTTAGGTGATTTTAAATGATTTTGTAAAATTCCCTGTTATTCAATTTGTAAAATATAAAATATAAAGAACCAGCAAGTGATCCAAAAAAAAAGAACCAGCAAGTGATCCACAGTCGCCACCGGAGGATTATGAATCTCGGAGCGACGATGAAACAAAATATTCATCGTCAATCATTCCTCTCCGATCCATCCAATTGATAGATCGGACCACCTTGTCCCCAGCCAGAACTCTCTACCTTCTTCAGTACCACTTTCTCCACGCTGGCGACGACTGTGACGCGACGCGCATAAAGTTAGCTTGAGCGGTGGCGACGGTACTGATGTTTTGAGACTCCAAGAGCGGAGAGCGGAGGTTTGTTGTCCATCAGACCTCCTAACACTCCAGGTCCACCGGCACGGTGAAGAAATAAGCCGAAGAACTAATCCTTTTGATATTTTATTTTTTATTTCTTATTTACTTTTATAAAAAACTTTTCCAAATCACACCTTTAAAGGTGTTATTTTGATTAGTCATATTCTTGATAAAAAATGATTGTTAAATCTCCTAAAAAGTCTCTAACAAAATTTTTTCTAAATAGTTGTTTACTTTTGAATAACAGTGGATTTGATTTAAGATTCACAAATGATGAATTGAATAATAGGGCTATGTAGGTGATTTTAAATGATTTTATAAAAACTCCATTTTCAATAACACTGAATTTGAAATGACATTTAGAAATCCTTAAATGAATAACAAGGAATTTTACAAAATCATTTAAAATCACCTAAAATCTTTGAAATCCATTTTCCAATACACCCCCCTTAATGTCAATGTCAATATAATTATTTTTGTAACGGTTTTAAAAATTTTAAAACCAGGTGCTGCAAAGGATCAAACTCGATACTTGTTGCGTTTAAGACAAATGTGATAACCGCTACACCATAGCATCTTATAGCATCTTTTTGGCTGAAAAGAAAATTTATGTCTATAATTACTTAGACCATGTGCAAATTTTCAACTAAAAAGTTAACTATTACTAATAATATATGTAAATTAAGATAATATATTTAACTTTACAATTAATGAATAGGAAAATTATTATAAAATTCTTGTAAATTGTAAATTCAGAGAAATTATCATTATTAAAAACTAACTGGGAGAGAACCCGCGCAATGCGCGGGTTTATTAAACCAAATATTTTTAATTTAATTATTCAGAACATTAGATTCGAATATATCATTTGTTTTTTACTCGAATATATTAGATTCTGTAAGTTTTGCATTTTGTTTTTTTTCATATAGTTTTAAAATTTAGTTGTTATTTACGTGAAATCTTATATAGACTCATAGTGAATAGTTTCATATGTTTTTTGTTCTTTTATACAATAATTTATCGACTGGAGTTGAGTTCTTCTAATTTTCCTTATACTAACAATCATTATAGATTGATTATTATCCTACAGACTCATAGATAATAATAATTGCAATCCTTTTTAAAAGGAAATGAAATGAGCTAATTAGCCAGTAAGCCCATTTAAAGCTACCATGGAAACGAAGAGGTCCGATAAATAATCAAGCCCATCAAAACGAACAGCATTACACATAATTTTGATTTAGTTTTTTTTTTTTTTACGAAAACGACGTCGTTTTGGTGTAAGACGGAAAAAAAAAAAGATAAAGCGCAAAACGACGTCGTTTTGGTGTAAGACGAAAAAAAAAAAAAAAATAAAGCGCAAAACGACGTCGTTTTGGTGTTAGGAAAAAAAAAAAAAGTGCCACGTGTCAAAGGCTTGAGAGTGTCCAAGCCTTATTAGTTATGTAGATTAATAAATTATATGTAAAATAGGAAATTTACATAAATTAATTATTTAATGAGAAAAAATTAAGAAAAAATTAAAGATAATGACATGGACCAAGAGAAATTTCATGAAATACACCTCTTGAGGTGCAAATTTTCAAAACTACACCTATAGTGTGGAAATTTTCAAAAATACACCTTTTCCCAATTTTAATATATATGTTTGGGTTCATTAATCCTATATTAGGGTTTAGATTTTGGGGTTTAGGGTTTAGATTTTAGGGTTTTGGATTTATATTTTAGGGTTTAGAGTTCTTTTACTAAATGAAAAAAGTGTACTTTTGAAAATTGGGACCATAAAGGTGTATTTTTGAAAATTTGCAGCTCAAGAGGTGTAGTTTTGAAAGTTCCCCATGGACCAATCAAATTCAATTTTAGAATCCTATGTGGACACCCTCTAATGCATATAGGGTCAACTTTTATTAGTAATAGATTTAATCTATCTAATAAACGATCAAAATTATTTAGGCATTCCGGAAAATTTAGGAGGGGCTAAAACTAAAACATTTAGATTCCTAATTGATAGACAAAATAAACGGATTAATGGATGGACATCCAAGGTTCTCTCGAAAGGGGGAAAAGAAGTGATGGTAAAATCTAGGCCTGAGAATTTAAACCGTACCCGATAACCGTACCCGTTTCCGACCCAAGAAAACCGACCCGACCCGGGTTCGGTTATGCCTAAATAACCAATCGGTTTTGATTTATATTTGAAATCGGGTTCGGTTCGGTTCGGTTTATACCCGATAACCGATTTAATAACCGAAAATCGATAATTATTAAATAACCACATAATTACATAACCCAAACCCTAAAATTACAGCGCCTCCTCTTCAACTAAAATCTTGGATCTTCCTTTTGCATCTCTTTGCAATGATGCAATCTCAATCAAAATCTTCTCTTTCACAACAAGCGTAAGATGAACAAGAAACAAAACCCTTTTCTTTGTATCCTTAGTTTCTTCTTCATCAACCTTATCTATCACACTAACAGCTTGAGAAATACTTGGGGTTGCAATTGCAAAATCTGAAATCTCTGGTGTGAATGTTTCTCTCGAAATTGCCGTTCTCTGATCTGATTTGACTTTGAATATGAACTGTACCGCTCATGGGCAGTGATTTCCATCGATTAGAGCAACTTCAGATCGCAACTTTTTGATTCATAGGCAAATGGAAGACGAATTGACGGGACTTGAATGCTTTCTATCACGAGGCAAGCGGTTTTGTAAGGGTAGAAGATGATTTCTCTGGACCATGAAGAGGAGAGGCCGGATTTGTGATCGGAGTGGGGATTTGTGATCGGAGTGGAAGGGGGAGAGGAAGAAAGCAACGGAGAAGGAGGAAGATTTTCGGGTTTTACCCGAAACCGAATAAAGTTCGGTTTTTTGTCGGGTTTTAGGTTGAATCCGAAAACCGACCCGAACTCGAAAATCAAAACCCGAAACCGACCCGAACCCGACCAAATACCAGAACGGTTTCTAAACTTCCAAACCCGAATAACCGAAACCCGATTTAACCAACCCGAACCCGACCGGTTACCCGAATTCCTTGGCCTAGTAAAATCAGTGTTATCAGCGATGCCCACACACGTAATGTCATGTTTTCGGTTGCTAAAAGGCGTAACGAATAAACTTACAAGTGCGGTGGCTAACTTCTAGTGGAGTACGAATTCCCAAACACGTGGGATGCATTGGCTGGCATGGAAGAAGTTGTGCCGTCACAAGCGAGAGGGGGGTTTGGGTTTTCGGACTATTGAGGATTTTAACACGGCTCTACTAGCAAAACAGCTATGGAGGTTAATGGATTACCCGGATTCGCTTTTTGCTAAGGTTTTCAAGGGGAGATACTATCGGAACTCTACTCCCTGGACCCAATAAGATCTTACTCTCCGTCATATGGATGGCAGAGTATTATCTCTGCTCGATCTCTGGTAAACAAAGGGCTCATTAAAAGGGTCGGTTCCGGATCATCCATCTCAGTTTGGTATGATCCATGGATTTCTGATTCCCGCCCGAGGTCAGCTATTTGTATCGGTGTTAATTACTATCCCCACCTGAGGGTGAGTGAGCTAATTAACACTCAGACTTCAACGTGGAATCTTCCACTATTGCAACAATTGTTCGAGAGCACTGAAGTTGCTCGTATTACTGGGATTACGATTTCTACTGGTCTTAAGCCAGACAGGATGGATGGATGTTCACTCAAACAGGGCGATATACGGTTAAATCGGGGTATAAGGTCCTCCAGGAGTTCCCGGACGTGGAGGGCACACCGGTATTCGGACCAGACACACGTAGACTGCAAGCTCAGTCCTGGAAAGTAAAATGTACTACGAAGCTACAACATTTTCTTTGGCAAATTATTAGTGGATGTTTATCAGTTGGGGCACGGCTGTGCAATCGAGGGATGCGCGTGGACCCGCTGTGTGTGCGATGTGGAATGGGGGATGAGACAATTAATCACATGTTGTTTGAATGCCCCCGGCTCGACAAACATGGGCCTTATCACCAATTCCAACCCCACCACAATGTTTTCCGACGGACTCTATTTACTCAAATATGGCACATCTCTTCTGGAATCTTCCAGACAATGACGATATGCTAATATTTCCATGGTTACTTTGTTTTATTTGGAAGGCCCGGAATTACAAAGTTTTCTCCAATACGGATCAAGATCCGAGAGAGGTTTTGGATTCTGCAATAACAGAGGCTCGTGCATGGGCCGCAGCCCAACCGGCTGGAGAGATGGACAATGTGCGGATAGACATATCAGCGACGCAACCGCCTTGTGGTGAATGGTGTCAAATAGATGGAGCCTGGAAAGAGTCAGAGACTCGAGCGGGACTTGGGTGGTACAATCTAGACCCGGAATCGGGTTCAGTTTTGGTTGGGGCCTGTAATTTACGACGGGGTCTATCCCCTTTGCAGACGGAACTGGAAGCGTTGGTGTGGGCCATGCAAATCATGTTGGTCTACAATAAACGGCGAATGCAGTTTCAAACTGACTGCACTGAACTGGTGAAGATGGTGTCTACACCGACAGCGTGGCCGGCGTTTGAAACACTGCTTGAAGAGGTGGAGAAGTGCAGAAGGAAGTTTCAGACATTTCAGGCGTTTTCTTCAGTATTTAGTCATCAGAATCAACCTAAATATTCGGAAAAAAAAAAAAAAAAAAATCAACCTAAATAAACCACGAGAAAAAATGGAGGTAAGTGTGTGGGTTTTATAAAAATAACTGTAATTGGTCGTAATTAAAAAAAATTGTGTGGCTTGAGCAGACTCCAGTGATTAATTGGTCGTAATTGTGGTTAGTTGCGGATCTAAAGATAAATTTCAATTAGAGATAGTATATATAACTACCGTAACTAGTAAAAATCATCATTCTCTGAAATCCCCACAGCAGAAATAAAAACAGGAACACCAAATCCTCCGAATAATAAATGATGAACGCAAACAATATTCTCATCCCCAAGCAAGAGACTATACAGTCTCATCCTCAAAATACTCTATAGTCTCATTTCATCCTCAAGATAATAATCTTCATGAGCAAGAGAAGGATCATCAAGAACTTCTCGCATGTCATAAATCATAAAATGCAAAAGAGACTCAACCAAAGTAACTTGATAACAAAATCCCTCATACTGATCGTAAGCATAATGTCAAATGTTATTGTTTTTTTTAATTGAATGTATAATCAATTCAAACCCAAAAAACCTTTTTTAACAATAGATGTGCCTTTGTTTTTGAGATTTTAGCTAAGCTATTACATCAGAGATCAAATTGCTAGTGATTAACGAGACCCGAACCAAACTTGGAGCCCCAACAAACTATATATGCAATAGTTTTATATATATATATATATATATATATATATATATATATATATATATATATCACAATAAAACTCAAAGACATAAGCGAAATCACATAGTTTCTTTAGAAAAAAAATCAAAATAAACAGCCATTATAAGAAGGAAAACAAAGAAAAAAAACTTTGAAGATAGAGCTTTAGGCGATGCTGCTTTACAACAAGAGACTCTCGATGTGATTTGGGAAAACCTGTAAGTTGAATAATGTATCGTACTTAGAATGGTTATAACTGTGTTTAATTTCTTCACTCATCATTCCTTCAAACAAGGCTTCTCTAATACGTTTTGTCCTCGGATCAAAATATAAAATAAAGAAGGATTCATGCCATCCACATGGTGCAAAAATAAGCTCACCGGCGTCAGTAATACCCTGGAAAAGTATATACCTTCTCCATTCTCTGTTACAATTTACATCACAAAACCATTTATGAGTCCATTCATCTCCAACTGCATCTTCCAAAACATAGAGACCAATATAACCAAAGGGATAGCTAGTCTGGACTAAGGCAAGCTTTCCCTCATAAGACGACATCCTACTACGTTCCGAACGAAAATTAGTGTTGGGAAACTTTATCGGATGATTGAACTTTTCAGATGTGACATCGAAGCTCATTATTAAGTCGTGATCAACACCTACAACTCTAGCTTCATAATACAGAATACCATTGACGCATCGCCCACCTCCGTAAGGTGGGTAATGCTCAGGGCAACTTTTGGGTATTGTTCTCCACGATTCTTTAGCTCCCAACGTAAGAACCTGCGGTTGTTCGAAATGTTCGAAAAATGATACAAACAATACTTTGTGTTTATCCTCCAATGGATCGTATCCTATTCCTATATAAGATCTATATTTATCACTCGAGATGTTTTCTATAGGATGTGGTAAGGTTAAAAACCGAGTAAAGCTTGGGTTCCAAATCTTGAATCCGGCTAATAAAACCAAGCCATGGACGCTCCCAGATAGCGTGTTGGGCCCGTTATAAGCCATAAAACTAGGGTTTGTTGTTTGATAACTGTAGAAAGGAGGATTAGACCCGTCGTGATTATGGTGTTGAGGAAATGAGAAGACGAATCGCTTCGTCTCTATTACGAAGGTGAAAAGAAGACGCGGTGGCCGTGCAGATGACCGAGATCGGAACGAGTTGATAAAACTTGGGAGTGTGGTTAACGAAGAGCATAGCTTTGAGACACAGCGAAATCTCACAAGCGATTTCGCAGGAAGTCTTAAGAGTATCTCCAAGGTTAGATCAAAAGGAATATGGTCTAGTTGAGAATCTTCAGATCTGTCATCATCATCATCATGTGTTGCTCTCTGAATCTCTCCTCTCTTTTCCTCTTGTTCTTTATCCATGGTCGATTGCTCAAGAATACTTTTATTAATTATAACTCTAATAATTTCTTGTGTTTAAACTGAAACTCTAAATGTTATTATATACAAGTAGACGTGCTCAATATATATGGTAGCTTGTGTTATTACGACATATGTCAATGTTATTGTGGAATTTTTCTATAAATTAAGATCCTAATGAAGAAGAAAATACCAAAATATTTTTTGTTTAAACTCAGAAATATAAATAAATTAATATCAAAAACAAGAAAACTAAACACATACTATCTTTTTTTTTTTTACCAGAACAAAACACATATCCATTTACTAAACAAGTATAAACTAATATCATACAATATATAGATATAATAATTAAAATAGCAAAATTTGACTGCCAATCATTTAATTTTAATCATAAAATATCTAAGATATGATAAGATCCTAAGATTATATGAAACTAGGGTTTTGGGAAAAAGAAAAAAAAATCATCATGGGCTAAGAGAAATAAAAATATTTTGATTACAGAATTTGGAGATTTAACTTAATTTCTGTGTTGACCCAAATAAATAAATAAAAAATTCTGTAAGATTAACTTTGATGATATAAGTTTTTCGCACACTAAAAGATTATGTACATATTAAGTTTTGTCATTTATACAATTTTGTTCATTTACCTTGAAAATTAAATTTCAGAAAACTGCTTTTACCAAATTTTACTTATTAGTTATTTGATTTCCTACTTGGTTGCTGCACAAGTTTTATTTATTTCCTTGGCTCTCAAGTTACTATCCTATTTGAGAATATCAAGGAGCCAAAAGAAATTAGAATTCACAGATGCTTATGTTTCATATTTAGGGGGTGTTATTGGATGTTGTATTTGAAATGAACTGAAATAGATTTTATAATCCACTAGATTTTAAATATTTGTGTTATTTTAAGAATCCATTTCAGTTGATTCTAAAATCTCTGCAATATCTTATGGATTCTGTTTTTTATAATTTACTCATACAAATCCATTGGAAGTCATTTCAAATGACTCAATAAACAAATGATTTTAAAAGTCATTTAGTTTGGAATAACAGTGGATTTGAAATCTGAATTTGAAATCTTGATTGAATAACACTGGATTTGAAACTCTATTAATGAAAGATTATAAATCATATATCGAATAACACTGGATTTTAAAACCGGATTTGAAATCTTAATTGAATAACAGTGGATTGTAAATCTATTTCAGTTCATTTCAAATACCACATTCAATAACCTTAAAATCTTCAAGTTAAATGGATTAAAAGTATTTAGCGCAAACCCTTTTTGTAAATAACCTCTATTTGGGCGTTATACAAAATACAAAGAGACATTCTACTGATATTTGGGCGTTATACAAAATACAAAGAGAAATTCTAAGTTACTGAATATTCTGAAAACTTAAAATCAATTTATTTTCTCTATAAAATTCACGATGTTAATCTTGTTTGTAGTGCAAGATCTAAATCAACAGCGACAAACCAAAGTCAGGCTCCAATTTAGCAAGATGTAATTTATCTAAACAAAATGTAAAATAATAGAAAACTTGACTGGTCAAATATGGTTGTTAAGCAGAAGAAGATTTGGAAGGATCATAGACTTGACCAGCAAACAAAACTGTGTTCCAGTTTTGTCTTCTCTAATCAAGAAAAGAAATGGATGATCACCACAAAATCTATCCTCTTCGGAGGAGGGGGCCTGAAACGGGAACAGCCTGCTCCTTTGAAAATAGTGACAGCCGCAGCTTCAGCGCCGTCTTCATCGATCTCGACACAAGCTTTATGGTACATTTTCTCTAAAACATCTCCCTCCAAAGCCCTTGAAGCCTCAAACATGAAAGAGAACTTAAACTTTGGGATTCTGAAATCACCAACTAAAACTCTGGCCTTCGGAATATGACTATCCAAGAATCCAGGAGTTGATGTCATTTCCTCAACAAGATTATCCAATCCATCTTTCTTGTCCGGAAGATAGAAATACATAGAAAATTTCCGGCCGGTATCATCATCATTAAGCTCTTGTCGATATGGTAGTTGAAGGACCTTGAAGCCGTCGTAAACCTCAATGTATTGTTTGTCGTAGCTTCTCATGAAAGGCACACGTACCGGGTTGCCTTCAAGAAGGTGAAACTCTTCTTCTTTCGTCAAAGACTTTTTGAAGTGGTCTTTCCAGGCTCCCTTTAAGTACAATGCGTTTCCATAAACCTGTTGGGTTAGTGAATTAACGGATCCAGGAGGAAGAATATCTTTGATGAGACCATTGGTGTGATCCGAAGCCCATCTATTCAGCTTTATACGCACTTCCTCAGCCTTTCAAACAGGAAAATATGTCAGTAAATTTCAGTTAATTGCATATACTTTACATATTTCAGATAGGGTTTTCTCGAAACATGAATGAATATGGTTGATATTAGTGTAAGTCTTGTAACTACTATACACTCAAATAGCTCCTGCACTAATCTTCTCTTATTCAAAGAAAATCATCGAAGTTTATATAATAAGATTTTTATGTTCAAACATACAAGGATCAGCATGGATATAAAGAGTTTCCTTAAGCAAATTATAAGGAAGAGCAAACTATTTTCTTATAATTTTGTTTTCTTTGCAATTTTTAATAAATTCTCTAAACCCTAACAACATTACCTATAAATAATAATATACTAACTATACAGAACCATATCTATTATTATATTTAGTTTCATTTTTTTTTTCATTATACGATCATGTAAACTTTCATATATTAGCTCGTTAAATTAGAAAAAATATGAGAAACGGGAAATATTTACCTTTGATATGAAATCAACTTGAGTGAAAGTAGCCTTGAAGACATTCTCAAAGAGATTTTTCAACGAATGATCAACCAGGAGTGATTGCTCGACCCAAACGCCGTTAACCGCCGTGATTTTGGGGCCACCGCTGGCACTGCCGTCAGCAAAAACGACTGTAGCAATCTCGCTGTAGACGGCGTTAAGCTCGTCGGAACCAGAGCCTTTACCAGCAGCCATCATCGTGAGTGCAGCGCTGATTGAAGCCGGAGAGAAGACGAAGTTAGCGTGACGTGCTTCGGAAGCTATTACTTTACGTGTAAGGTCCAAAGCTGCGTCGTTTTGCTTCTTCATCGCTTCTCGCAACTCCTTCTTTGAGAGAGATGCGATTACTTGCGATTTGCTGCGCTTTTGCTTTTTCTTAGTTCTTCGATCCATCTTTGAGAGAGAGGCATCTGTTGTGTCTGAAGCTGTGCTAAGCTTTTGTTTTCTGTTTTTTGAATCCATCTTTTAAGTTTTAACGATTTTGCTTTTCTCCTTGTGAGCACATATGAGTATATGACACATATATATACACAGAAGAGATCAAAACAGAACTAGGGTTTTGCCGTTTGGGATCTTTTGGCGTATAATGATAATTTAATTACAGAAATTTGGAAATTAACTTAATGTCTACAGTATAAGATTACTTTTATGATATAGTTTTTCGCTTACTTAGAAGTTAAAAGATATTTTTGCTCTATAGTTTTTTTGTTTTCCTCCCTGATATGTTGTCAAAAGAAAAGGAAGATATTTGCTGATATCTAGTTTTGTGACTTTTGTCTAACAGATTTAGGGGGTGTATTAAACGAGTGATTCAGGGTGATTTGATTTTTAGTGAGTTTTTAGATTATTTTGTGTTATTTTATTTGAAGAGAGAAGTTTGAGTCTTGAGTTTCTCAAAAGTCTTGTAGTCTTCTTCTTTGTTCCCAGCCGAGACGTTTCTAAGTCCATCAAAAAATCTAAGTAGAAAGCAATCAATCGGTTCAAAACCTTCACAGCAAAACCCTAAATTTCTACTTACAGAGTCACCGACGCCTTCGTCTCTCTTGAAAGATCACGATGATGATGTCGGATCCTCAGCAGGATATTGTAGAGGAAATACTCTCAACACTGCTCCATCCTTAGAGTGTAAAGGTGCACTTGTCCTAAATGATTCCCATTCTAATTCACAACAAGTCGATATACGGTTTGTTGTTATGCATCTTCACATACCGTAGTCCATAGACACGTGGTGGTTTGGAATCCAACTCAAAACTGGTTACCAGTGGTACGGTAAGTTCGCTCTAGATTACGAAAAGAACAACAAATCTTGCCGTAGCTACAAAATTTTGAGGTGGTACAAAGTTTGTGGGCTTGAAAGTTATGAGTTTGGCTCTGATTCATGGAGGATTCTCGAAACCGTCGCTTTCGATTGCCTCGTACAACATAATATCGTGTCTTTGAAGGGAAATGCTTACTGGTTTGCTTTTGAGAAAATAGACAAGTCTCAAAGTTTCTTACTAAATTTTGATTTTACAAGAGAGAGATTCAGACGTTTGTGTCTTCCGACGTTTCAGAATATTGGTTGGATAGCTCTATCAGTTGTTCGAGAAGAACAACTCTCAGTGTTACATCGGAGCTTTGGTTCATCAAAGATCGAGATTTGGTTGACCAGTAAGATTGATACTAAAGCCGCCTTGTGGAGCAGATCTTTTAAAGTGGATATACCTATTGACAGTAATTCTCTTCTCTTTCCATTGAGTTTTTTTGATTGACGAGGAGAAGAAAGTGGCTGTGTGCTGTAATGGAAGTGCAAAGCCAAGCTGGTGGTGCTATGTTGAAAAATATTGTACACAAGTCCCCTTCGTAGAAACTACACGAGTATGAGTATCATGCCGCCCATTTATTTTCAATTATGTTCCAAGTTTGGTACAAATCAGCCGATGAAACTAGCCTATATACAAAAATAAGCAAGTGATTTTGTCTCTGTCTTTGTTTCTGTGTTTCTGTTTTTGACCTTTTTGTTCAATGATTTAGTTTTGTGGATTGGCTTTCATCTTAATTTGTTTTGCGTCTTTTGTGTGCTTGACTAGAGAATCAAATTAAATACGAAATGATCATAGGACATAACAAGAAGATGTAAATTAACACAAATGACGCCTTATAAAACTTTGATGCTAATGGTCTCATAACATTACCAAAATGTGCTGTTTAGTTTTGAAACCAGAGTTTCTCAACATTACCGAATCGTATCTCTCTGTTTCTCAAGTTTAAGGTAGTGACTGGTGAAAAAGACAATGATGTAACTAATAGTTCATGCCTCCCATACCACATATGCCTGCTCCAGCTCCTGCTGACTCGCTTTCGTCTTCAGGAAGCTCGACCACTTGTCAACAAAGATGACACACAGACAACAACAACAACAATAACAACAAAAGTAAACAGCTTTACCAAAATAAAAGAGAACAATGTTCGGTTTTCGCTTTTCATTACCTCGCAGCATCAACTAGAGCCGTCCTGATCACTTTCACCATATCCACATATTCACCTAGTATCCTCAATAAATAAACAAACAAGTAATAGTTTGGAAAACAATTTTGTTTATTTTTAGGAGGGAAGAAGAATTGTTGTTCGTGACTTACAAAATTAGTAAAAATATTTCCGGATTGAAAAGGTGGAAACATTCAAAATTAGAAAATACGGGAAAATGGTTCAGTAACACACCAAATCAAAAGAATTGAGTGATCTGCGATGCTTTCTGTCGTTTAGGTGAATCTCGTAGTGAAAACTGAAAAGTGATCAATCTATACAATGTTTTTCTTTTTACTTCTCCCAAAATTGAACCACTATACCCAAAAATAACCGGTTTAAACCAGAGATAAGCCGGTTATCGCAGAGATGACAATGTTTCGAGCCATAAGAAGATGATCATGTGTTTTAGAAACCAAGCTAGGAAGAGACTAGTAAGATCCATGCTCCAAACACCGGGAATGTAATCAATGCAGATGCCTGCAGATATTTCGGTTTACAGATTTGAATAAAATTCAGACAAATCAAACATCGAGTTAAACCATATCTTAAAAGAAAAAAAAATCCCACACATACCATAAAAAACACCACTTCTCTGTTTGCAAGAGCCGCTGTGATCTCGTTTCTCTCCATCTCATGCTTGATGAAGCCTTGCAACTACAAATAGTCAAGAGCAAAGTGCCGGTTTAGCAAGAGATCCTTATGGAGAGTGTGAAAATGTAAAGACTTGAAACAAGAACCTGGTGGTGATATTTGGTAACAGCTTCCCAAAGTCTCTTTAACTGTGACAGGAGATACTCTTTCACAAAGGGAGAATCCTTCTTTTTCTCCCAATGAAACTCAAATTTGACATTAACCTCAAACTTTCGGATGTCGCTCACGAGCTAAGAATACAGATACACAGAGGAGGAAATGAGAGAGACTGTGAGATGATTCACTCCAAAACACTGCATTTGGATTTCATTTCTTTACCTTCAAGAGAGTGCATTTGCTAGGTGTGTGATGCCTTCGGTTGTTAAATTCTCTCATCTTCAAGATGCAAAAGTTACAAAACAAAACAAAAACATCAGTGACTGACGTGAATCTATACTACTGGATCACAGCTCATAGAATTCAACTGCCATTAGGGACCTGCTCAAGGTGCTGAACCTGAATCCACTGCTCGGTAACAACTTCCGTCATCTAAAAACGATAAAGAAAAGTTTGTCAAAACCATAAGCTCATGAGGAATTTTCCCACAGCAACAATCAGAAAACTCATTTTAGCATATCAGACAGATTCCATTTGCTACCACCAGCAAAAGAAGTTAAGACCACAACACAAATCAAGAGAAGCGCAAATCCAGTCAAAAAGTGGCAAGTTACATAGATTATCTGATACTTAAATACCTAACACTAACAGCAACAAGATGCTTAATCACTCGAGTGTATGTGCATATACTTAAGTTACATTTCTTTAGAAAATACTAAAGGAATGGTGTAAAAGCCAAGAAACACACCTGTTCAACTTCCAAAGCCTTAGCTTTAACTATATCCTCAGCATCTCTAGCCTTATCCTCTAAAACGTGAAGCTCGAAGTTGGTTGTTCTCAAGGCAGCCCATAGGAGTTTAACCTAGCAATGCCAGCCAGTGTTTACACTTTTGCGAGAAGTTAAGTTTAAAAATAAGAGTAGCCACATGGCTGAGCAGACCTCTTCTTCCAACTCAACTATCCTTTCTTGGACCAACGGTAAGCCGCTCTGCGAATCAAATAGTTAGTGTCAGGAAATGCCATCATTCATGGTAATCTATTAGCACGACTAAGAAATTGATTCCAAACAGAAACAAAGACCCTAAATCAAGAGCACCAACAAGTTTTCTTACTTAATATGCGAGCTTCAGGACTAGATCAGAGGATCTAACGAGTGTTCCTATCACATTCATTCCCTCTATCAGTAGAGAAACTCTCTAGTGCCGTTTTTAGCTAAGTCTACTTTAATTAAAATGTGAAATTATACATTCTTCGTAGAGAGTCCAAACCAACCTCGACAGTGTATGAAGCAGACTGTAGATCATGAATCTGACTTTCTGCAACTTGGATCAACTTCTCACACTCTTTCAAGTAAAGCGTCTTCGCATCCGACTTCTGTGTAGTCGCCTCAAGAACAGCTTCTACATGATTAGACCCAGTCGATCGATACTCAGCAATCAAAACCAAACAAAAGCCGAAATGAGAGAATTTATCTTACCTAATTGAGATATTCTGAGCTTAGCTGAGTCCAGATCATTGACCAGGTGATGGTTCGAGCCGATCTGCTGGATTTCGGAGGAGAAAACGAAGAGTGGTGCGATTAAAATGGGGAAAAGCAGCGCAGCCAAATGCAATCCCATTTCTCCGGCCGTTTTTCCGGCGCCGGCAACTAAGAAGACAGTAGTTTCGTCGACTCTTCTTCTTCAGCGAAATCGAGGTCAAAGCTCCTCTCTACTTCGAAAATCGAATTGTAAATTCAAACTCCAAATTCAATTCAAGCTTCTTCGATTTCTTCTGTAACGATGGACTAAACCGGGTTCGAGAAAATGATCTAAAATTGATTCGGTTTGATGTGCTTGGGGAAAAAACAACAGGGATTGTAAGCTCCAAAAGAAGAAACGGCGTGATGTTTATTCTCAAAGCAAGTGGTCGACAAGAAACTGGGAAAGAAAAACTTGCAAGCTGAGCGGATCTGAAAGACAAAAACCAACACAAGACCAAAAACGCTTCGTAAAGACGTTGAAGACTTGTATTAAATAGTTGATTAACTAAATTAAAATTGGAATTAATAAAGGAGCTTGTCTCATAAACAAGGGGAAAAACAAGGAAAAGGCCCAAAAGTATGAAGATTGTTGCCATCATAAAAAAAGCTTCATAAACACATCAACGGCGGAAACACACACATACGCACGCGATTCGCTGTAGAAAAGAAATCCCCTCGAGTATCGAAATATCCTTCATTTATTAAAAGAAAAAAACGTTTTTTTAACAAGATTTAAATGAGAAGGAAGAAAAAGAAAAGAAAATATTATGAAGGAGGTTGAAATTGAGATGAGTGGTACGAGCCCTGTTGTTTTTCCTTTTTGGTTTTTATCGATTTTACTATTATTATTGTTCATTCTTATATATCCCACTTTTATTTTTACGTTTTTCGACAAAAATTTGTGTGGGTTAAGTTAGTAATCGTAAAGGGAGGAAGGAAAAAGGGATCAGAGTTGGGGTTTGTTTGTTGTTAGAAAGAAAGCCCTAGTTTTTATTTATGTTCGTGTTATTGTTGCTGTTCGTTCTCTTTTGATTGTTGCGGCCGTTTCTGGGTTGTTGCTGTTTCTTCCTCTCTCTCTCTCTATCCAATCTTTCCATGGAGATGGGTTCTGATGGAGAAGATCAGATCAGGAGCAGCGTTGGTGGTGATGGTAGTAATAAGAAGAAGAAGATGAAGATTGATGATTCTAGAGACGCTCTCTCTAAGCCTAAGCGCCAGATGAAGACTCCTTTTCAGCTTGAAACCTTGGAGAAAGTTTATTCAGGTTCTTATCTAATTTTGATTCATCTTCGTTTCATCTTATTTAGAATTGATTGATTTTGAATTGTTCGTCGTTGATTTTGATTATAGAGGAGACGTATCCGTCGGAGGCAACGAGGGCAGAGTTGTCGGAGAAATTGGATTTGTCAGATCGGCAGTTACAGATGTGGTTTTGCCACAGGCGGCTAAAGGACAAGAAGGACGGCCAGGTTAAGAAACCGGCCAAACCAGCGCCGGTTCAACCGGCTGCTCTGTCTTCGGTTAACGAGATGTTACCGGCTGCTGAACCGGATTCCAGATCTGGTTCCGGTTCCGGGTCGGGCTGCAGCCCGTATTCGGAGTCGAGGAGGAATTTTGCGAGCGGTAGCAGCAGCTCTCGAGCTGAATTGGATGAGTACGAGACAATGGGGAAGCCCGGTTACGAGTCACGGTTGTCTGTAATGGTTCGGAGAGCTATCGTCTGCATCGAGGCTCAGTTAGGAGAGCCGTTGAGAGACGATGGACCGATTCTTGGCATGGAGTTTGAATCACTGCCTCCTGGTGCATTTGGAACTCCTATAGGTATATAATATATACATGACTTTTAAATGTTTGCTCTGTTTTGTGACTTTGCAATCATAATGTCAGTGTTAGTATTGCTGTTGACCTTGAAATTGTGAACCTTTTTGCTTAGTTTGTTCCAAAGTTTCTGTTTTTTTTCTTTCATTTTCTAATTTTGTTTCTGTTTTTGGTGGTGGGCAAACTATTGCAGCAATGCAGAAGCACCAAGGTCATCCATATGAGAGCAAAATGTATGAGCCACATGAGGCCCGACCTCGAAGAGTTAGTTTTCTGACTTAACAGATTGGCTTTATCTAAATTATTTATTCTGAGTTATATCCATTTGATAAATCAATGTAGCACCATCTCAAATAGACTAGTTGAGGAGGTTACATAAACTGATTTTTTTTTTTAATAAAGCTAGGGGTATTTTTAAGAGTTTTCATCAGATACTAGTCTTATGTTAGTCATTATTCACTGATCCTGAATTTCGTTTTGTGCATTAATGTAATTACATTTGCATATGATTTTATTCTTACTACTTTTCTGAAATTATTTGCTTTTGCTGATTATAGGGTGCCAACTCTTTCCATGAGCAACAGTCTCTGGATGATCCGTCTTCTTTTACACCTGAGATGTATGGACGATACTCTGGTGGTATGGACTATGAAATGAAACGTTCTAGGAGTTCGTCGTTTATGCAAGGGAACGGGCCAAGGTCCTATGGAAATGCGTCTCAGCAAGACATGGCTAGCCCCATTGCTCCATCACCTCATGGCGATAGTTTCTTGCTGGAGAGAGACTCGTCAGGCTTGAGGGCAGAAGATCCTTATTTGTTGACTGACGGGGTGCGTATGAGTAATGATGTGCATAGGAAGGGAAAGGTAACTTCCTGTGCCCACTTTTTTTTTATCTCATTCCCTTTTTGTTGACGAAATGTGTTTTTTTAGCCTAATGTTATTATCATGTCTACTGTCACAGGCAAACGATGGTAGGCTTGGTAGAGGGAGTGTACCAAATGAGAAACTAGACATTCAGAGGAAAAAGGTACGTTATTAGGAAGGTCTTGTTGTCTTTTATTAGTATCGATCTAACATGTGTATTGATGAGTTGGTGTTTGTGTGTTGTGGCCTCAGAATGAAGAACGGATGAGAAAAGAGATGGAAAGGCATGAGCGTGAGAGGCGTAAAGAAGAAGAGAGGTTGATGCGTGAGAGAATAAAAGAAGAGGAGAGGTTACAGCGTGAACAGAAGCGTGAAATGGAGAGAAGAGAAAAGTTCTTACAGAGAGAATATGAACGGGTAAGTTTGGAAAACTTTAGTATTTTTAGAAATCCTGCTGAGATTGAGCAGCAACTTTTGTGGCAAGAGTGTGGAAAATGAGACTTATACTTTTCTGTTGGAATGTTAATAAAGGCGGAGAAGAAGAAGCAAAAAGAAGAGATTCGTCAGGAGAAAGACGCTATTAGACGCAAGATTGCCATTGAGAAGGCAACTGCACGCAGAATTGCTAAGGAGTCTATGGATCTAATTGAAGATGAACAGCTAGAGCTGATGGAGTTGGCTGCTACGAGTAAAGGATTGCCCTCGGTGTTACAGCTTGACCACGACACATTGCAAAACCTTGAACTGTACAGAGGTATGGTCTCTTCACCGAAACGTGAAACTGATTTAGCTTGTGCTGGATTTGGTAAAAACGACCCTAATGGTCTACTTAGGTTGTAGGCTTTACAACGAATGGATAGTTTGTAACTGCTCAATTGTTTTGGTAATTTATTTTAGTCTTTTTAATATTGAAGTTTAGTGTTAATTTTGACGTTCTTAGTATGGTAAATATGCAATAGCCTTGTCCGGAATATTCTGTATTGATTGTATCATGTTAGAAAGCTGCCGAGTAAAATTGCTGGAGCTCATTCTTTTTTATTCATTTGATTATTTTGATGTATAAACATTACTTTTTAGATTGGCTCTCACAACCAAAGTAGTTTGCTTCTACCTTACTCGATTGATTTAACTTTTTTATTGTGCTGTAATTTCTTTCTAAATCCTGAGTTTTCCTACTATTACAGATTCTCTGAGCACATTTCCACCAAAGGATTTGCAACTGAAAATGCCGTTTGCCATTTCTCCATGGAAGGATTCCGAGGAAAATGTTGGAAACCTTCTTATGGTATGCTCGATTGATCTTTACTCTCTCAGTATGCTGCCTCTCATTTAAAATTAGTGCCATCAGAATTGGATCAGAACACTTGCACCGATTTGGAATCAGTTGGATTTTTTTAACATTTCAGATTTCTAATATTGTGGTTGCTTTTCAGATTTGGAGATTCCTAACATCATTTTCTGATGTTCTTGACCTATGGCCTTTTACCCTGGATGAGTTTATTCAGGCTTTTCATGACTATGTAAGTCTCTTTATAGGACTCATTCTGAGATTTACTTGTTTTCTTGTGTTCTAGTACTGTTTCTTTCATTTCATTGTTCTTGCTCTGTGTTTGATATAGATTCTATTGTAGGACTCGAGGTTGCTAGGGGAGATACATGTTTCTCTTCTGAGATCAATAATAAGAGATATCGAAGATGTTGCTAGAACACCTTTTTCTGGAATTGGAAATAACCAATATACTACAGCCAATCCTGAGGGTGGCCATCCGCAGATAGTTGAAGGGGTAACTAACTTTCTCTATCTCATTATGCTAATATCCTTTTCTCTTTCAGGGGCTTCAATTCATCTTTCCTATGCTTCTTTTTCTTCAGGCTTATGCATGGGGCTTTGACATTCATAGCTGGAAAAAGCATTTGAACCCACTAACATGGCCTGAAATTATGCGACAATTGGCACTCTCTACTGGATTTGGCCCTAAGCTGAAGAAAAACAATTCCCGTTTGACTCATGCTGGTGACAAGGATGAGGTACGAATGGTTGGTTAGGATGTAATGTTATTACTAAATATGGGAAAAAAATGTAAAATGAAATCCTGGAATCTAGGCTAGGCTTTATACATGGAGATGTCAGAGTTTATTTTGTTCTTAAACTTGTTTTTGGTTTGATTGTGTATGCAGGCTAAAGGTTGTAAAGATATCATTTCTACTATTCGCAGTGGCTCAGCAGCTGAAAGTGCTTTTGCAGCAATGCGGGAGAAAGGGTTGCTAGCTCCACGCAAGTCGAGGCATCGGTTGACACCTGGAACTGTCAAATTTGCAGCCTTTCATGTTCTCTCTCTTGAGGGAAGCAAGGGACTGACAGTATTAGAACTTGCCGATAAGATTCAGGTATATCTATAATCTAAATTTGTTCTGCAGATTTCATCAAAATTTGAAGTGTTTCGTTTACTAAGTTTTTATGGTTTCCACTGGTGAAGAAATCCGGACTTAGGGACCTGACAACAAGCAAGACGCCAGAGGCTTCTATCTCTGTTGCATTGACAAGAGATGTGAAGCTCTTTGAAAGAATAGCTCCTTCGACTTATTGTGTACGAGCTCCTTATGTGAAGGATCCTGAGGATGGAGAGGCAATACTCGCAGATGCTAGGAAGAAGATAAGGGCATTTGAAAATGGATTTGTAGGTCCAGAAGATGTGAGTGATCTTCTCGAAAGGGATGAAGACTTTGAGGGTGAGATTGATGAGGATCCCGAGGTTGACGATATAGTCGCTTTGGCAAGTGCATCAAAAAGTGCTGATCTTGGTGAAGCGAATATTTTGTCTGGAAAGGAGGGAGATACAATGCTCTGTGACGTTAAAGCAGATGTAAAGATTGAGATTGAGAAGGAGGCTTCTACTCCTCCTCCAAGCAGTATGAAGAGCATCGTTCCACAATGCCATAGTGAGCGGGATAAAGATACAACAGTTTGCTGCGTGGATAATAAGAATGCTGTGGTTGATGAAAGCAACCAGGGTCAATCATGGGTTCAAGGTCTTACAGAAGGGGATTACTGTCATCTAAGTGTTGAAGAGCGCCTTAATGCTCTTGTTGCTTTAGTCGGCATTGCCAATGAAGGAAATTCTGTCAGAGCTGCTCTTGAGGTAAAGTTTGGGTTTTGTTTTTTCAGCTTTTGTGTTGAAAAGAGAAGAACGTGACTTTTTGAATATGTTGCTGATGATCTGATTGATACTTATTTGCAGGATCGTATGGAAGCAGCAAATACTCTTAAAAAGCAAATGTGGGCTGAAGCACAGTTAGATAACAGCTCCATGAGAGATGTACTTAACCTTGATTTTCTAAACTCAGCAAGTACCAAAACCGAATCATCGATGGGTCTACAAATCGTCCAAAGCTCTACTCGTGAGAGAGATGGTTTCGACAGAGACCCTTCCCAACTCATAGATGAAACGAAGCCCATGGAAGTTGTTTCGAATGATCTTCATAAATCGTCTTCTGAGAGAGCGTTACTAGTTCAGGAGGCCAGTCTAAGTCAAGAAAACTGTTCTTCCCAACATGGATATGCTTCAAAGAGATCACGCTCGCAGTTAAAATCATATATAAGCCACAAAGCAGAAGAGGTGTATCCATACCGATCTTTGCCCCTTGGACAAGATCGTCGTCACAATCGTTACTGGCATTTTGCTGCATCAGCAACTAAAAGTGATCCTTCCTCGGGGCTTTTATTTGTTGAGCTCCATGATGGCAGGTGGCGGCTCATTGATTCAGAAGAGGTAATAGCAACCTTACCTTACCAGCTTGGCTTTTGATTTGCTAATATCAAGCTTGTATAGAGATTTTAACAATGCCTTGTTTGAATTTCTTCTGTGTAGGCTTTTGACACTCTGGTTGCATCGCTGGATATGCGTGGGATTAGAGAATCTCATTTACGCATAATGTTGCAGAAGATCGAGGGATCGTTCAAAGAGTATGCTTGTAAGAATCTAAAGCTAGCTAGAAACTCTTTCGTGAAGGAAAAGAGTCTTGTGATTTATTCCCCTGCAGGTTCTGTGAGTCCGTCCAGTGCTGTATCAGGGTCAAACTCTGAGTCAATGGAAACTTCAACATCTATTAGAGTCGAGTTAGGGAGAAACGACACGGAGAAGGAGAATATATCAAAACGGTTCCATGGTTTCCAGAGATGGATGTGGACCGAGGCGTACAGTTCACTACCTTCATGTGCTAGGAAATACGGGAAGAAGAGAAGCGAACTGTTGGCAACATGTGAACTGTGTGTTGCATCTTATTTGTCTGAGCATACCCACTGCACTTCTTGTCACGAGAGATTGGACATGGTTGATAGTACCGAGAGAAAGATGTTAGATTCAGGTTTCACATCGTCTCCTCTTCCTTTTGGAGTCAGGTTGCTCAAAGCGCTATTTGTTTTTCTTGAGGTAAACTATCAATCAGCTTTTAGTAAACTGTCAATTAGTCACCGCTTCTTTGGTACCAACTTTTGACAACTCTACACACTTCAATTATTGACAGGCATCTGTTCCAGATGAAGCTCTTGAATCATTTTGGACAGCGGACAAGAGAAAAAACTGGGGGTTTAGGTTGAATGCTTCATCATCACCTGAAGAACTTTTGCAGGTTCAATCATCTTTATTTTCTCTCAGTTAATACAAATTGTAAGTGACGAGTTGCTTTAAAATCTGTATCTTCTTCTTCTCTTTTTCTGGTTAGGTGTTGACTTCCTTGGAGAGTGCAATCAAGAAAGAATCTTTGTCATCCAATTTTGTGTCGGCAAAGGAGCTCTTAGGAGCTGATGATCCGGGATCAGTGGACGTTCTTCCATGGATACCAAAGACGGTATCAGCGGTTGCTTTGAGACTTTCAGACCTTGACGCGTCCATACATTATGTGAAGCCAGAGAAACCTGAGCTAATCCCTGAAGATGAGAACGAGCAGATGGTAAGATTTCTAGACCATATTTTGGTTCTGTGAAGAATTGTGAAAAATTGTTTCTCTGTTACTCTCTTTTGGAAGTTATGATTAAACCTTACGTTACTCATATTTTATGCAGAGCTTTGTCCCTGTAAACTCTCTTATCAAAGGCAAAGGACCCAGAGAGCAAGAAGACCAAGACGAGGTTGTTCCAAACTCGGGTAACAAACGCAAACGTGCACGAGTAACTTTCGGATCTGCAACAAACAGAAAGGTGAAGAGGAAGAAAGTGCCAGGCGTTCCCGTATTTTACGCTGGTAAGAAAAATGTTCCAGTCGATATGAGCGTTGAGTTGAACCACCAAGTCCCTGGAAGAGGGAAGAGGACGGTTAGAAAAAGACCAGAGAGGATCGATGAGGACTATGACCGCCTAGTCAGCAGAAGGGCTGCCATTGTTAGGCCTAAAAGCGAGGACGAAGAAGAGGAAGAAGAAGAAGAGCAACCATACAGGGACATGGATGAAGACTGGGCCAATATAACACATAACAGAGTGATGACGCCGATGCAAGTGGATGATGAAAGTGATAACAGTGTGGCAGTTGAGTCAGAGGATGATGATGATGGTGATGGTCAGTTTGTGGACTACAACAGGCAGAGAAACAAATGGGGATTAGATTGGAGGAATAGTAACCGAAATGAAGCCATGGAGGTTGAGGAGGAAGAAGAAGAAGAAGAAGCCGTTGGGGTTGAGAGGGTCCAAAGAGAAGAAGTGGCAGAAATGAGTGAGAGCTCTGAGGATGATGATGGGGTACCTCCTAATAATGCAGCAAACAATTACGACAGAGAATCAGAAGATTACAGCAGCAGCAGCGATTCGTGAGTTGTGAGATTTAGCTTGTGGAGAGTGAAGATTACATTCTTGAAGGCATATATATTTATAGGTAAAAAAAAGATAGTATCAGAATAGGTTTTGCACCTAAGAGAAGTAATAGAAGAACATTTCCGATTAGTTTTGGTGAAGTTAAGCCAAGCCAAGGCAAATTATTTAGCAATGCCTTTGTTGTCATAACTCATAAGTGAAATAATAATTTCATTATCTTGTTGAGTATATCTTAATGATTCTTGTGTCAATCTCCAATGCTTAAGAAACAATTCTGTAAAAAAAAAAAACAAGAAACAGTTCTCAACAATCTGCATTGCGAGGGTACAATTATAATTTCATATCTCTATGTTCCAAAGAAGAATCACTCGTCCTAGGAATCAGTTAGAATCTCTTCGCCATTAAATGTCAAAAGGTATAGGCCAAAGATGTCAAAAGGAATAGGCCAAAGAGACATTTTGTAGAGAGGACTTGAAAGAATTGTTTGTTTTCCTCAAATCATTGTCATGATTATTAGCGATCGCATGCATATCTTCTGCTTCGTTGTCTTAAGAAGCTTTCTCTTAAACTTACATTGTATTCTTAAGTAAAGGTTACTACTCTCATTAGATGGTCCATACAAGCTTAGACCAGCTTAACGTGGTGAATGGTTTAAGAAAGAAGAAAAACAAAATCTTTTTACTGTGTAAATATGAAACAAAATCTATCTACTGTTTTGTCCAAGAAATAGATATATTTCTACTGTTTGTAATACGAAAAGTAAAAGGCTTTTTTCAGTTCTTTTGAAACTTCGATACAAAACAAGAATTTAACATTTGAGCATACCCCTACATGAATTTTGTATGCCGTGACAAGTTTTACGACATTGCTACCTATAAACTATAAAGCAATGTCTTGTATATTAGGAATATGTGATTTCCTGATTAATAAACATTTGAAAATTTTAGAAAACACATACAACGGTAATGGTATACACATACATATCAAAGGAAGAGAAAAGGTCGAACTTTAGATTGGACAATAAGAAATATAGAAACTTCAAATGGAAAATTAATAAACAGAAAATGGTTGTTAAAAGACTTCCTTTCTTTTTAACCCGGCCAACCAAAAGGAGAAGAGGAAAGTGGGAGAAGGTGGGATGTGAAATAAACTCAATATTCTTAGAAGATTTATTAAAGTGAATGATTAAGCTTAAGGGAATCATTATCGTTACAAAAAAAGGTTAAGGGAATAAATATGATTGCAAGGTCGGAAGATCACCAAAATTGGGCTAAACAAATTGGACCGATGACTTTTCTTCCTACTTCTAGATGCTTTTTAAAATTTATTTTGCTTCTTCTATTTTCATATTTTAACCCAAAAGCATATTAAACCACGTAGAACCCACAACTACTGTTGTTTATATAAATTAGTTGTTGGACCCATTGGTCCACATCAACACTAATATAGATCACGAGAAATCGTAAGACTCATCAGCTCTATCCCAATATCTTGCGGGAATTCTACCATCAAGATTTAAAAATGAAATACATATATATTAAGGTTAAGAGTTCTATCTGGTTTTTATTTATGTGAATTTATACACACTTGCGACTGAGGCAAAAAAAAAAAAAATGTATCCGGGACTTTGTCTAGCTACGTACTTTAAATGATCTATAGACTCCGATATATACAAAAAAAAATGTGTCTAGAAGTTTTCAAAGTCACTTGTAACATGATTGGGTATCACATGTACTTGGGATTTTGGTAGCAAAAATACGATTTCAGTACGGATCGACGAGGGGATACAAGAGTAGGTGTAAGAACCCAACATATATTTTCCAGCATATATATGATTAGAAGGTGTATGATTTATATTCCCTCAAAGTTTGCAAAAGTGCGACTTTGTAATATTTATCAGGTCCCGCAGATCTTATGGCAAGTGGATACTTCGGAAAAGTTTGGGTACAACCACAAAAGTTTATTTTCAAGATTTCACCAAAAGCAAAAGCAAAAAAAAAAAGTAAAGAAAAAGAAAGGAAAAAAAGAAACACCTTTGAGAGAATAAATATAGTAGAGCAAAGTTTTCGTTTGGATTATTAATACTTGTATTTTATAATGTACGAAAAAAGAAGATAATCATGGATCTATTAATGTGGCTTAATTCTTGTATTTTACATAATGTGTTTACATAAATCATGTGACTCATATATATTGCTGCATTCCCCTTGTTATACCTATACCGTAGTATCTCTTGGACACATGACTCACAATACAATGTTTTGGGAGAAATAAGATTAGCTTTTATCATAAAAACAAAAAGATGAAAGACAGCTCTATGTTATTCATGTTATATATGTAAACTAGATGAAGCTACGATAACCAAAGCTAACGATTCACAGTTAGAACTTATTATACTCTCATTAAACAAAACATATCTTTGATGAAAAAATATATTATCTACCAATCCGAAATACATTTATCTATATCTTCAAATTTCATACCAATTCAAGAAGAATATTAGCATGTCTTTTATAACTATAGATAACTGCCGATGGAGAATTCGTAACATAAATTCTACTATGTTAATTATTTCATTTCACTAATTTTCTCTGTAAACATCAGCTCATTAGATTTTGGAACTAAAGAAGGAAAAAAAACAGGTCATAGCAAATACAAAAGCATGAGATTATAAGCATGAAATATGTATATTTTTTTACCAAAAGGCTTAATAAGCATGAGATATATACAGAAGAACGAGTCCATAAATTGAAGGGTGTCCAACTACTCCTCATAAGTCATAACCGTTACATTAACGGTTACATATGCTACGCGCGTGATCCACATGATACAAAAGCCAAATTAGACTCACACAAATCTTGCCCGCACATCAAATTTACACTTACAAAATGTAGAACTGTTTTGAAGAATTGCCATGAAATTATCGAGTTATCGCCGTACGGTACGTAGAACAACAGAAAACGACATACGGTCAATAAAACAAGGAATTATGGAAATTTCTGTGGAGTATACGACTAAATTGTTGTGTGGAGTATACGACTAAATGTTCTGTGGATGAAATTTAAATGTTCTTTATAAAAAGAAAATACAAAAGAACAGAATTAGTTTGAGATTCGTGTTTTGCTTTGGTAAAAACAGACATCGAGAATGCATGCCGTTTCTTTGGTTTCAGCAGTCCCAATGAATAATCAGATGATAAGACACCGACGCGATGTTTCCAATTTTTGGCTTTGTCTCGGGAACACTCTCTCTCTCTCTCGACTTTTCTCTTCTTCTTTTTTGTTTTTCTTTCCCTTATCGAGATATTTTTGATTTTTCACCTCTCTTTTTGGGTAAAACGAAAACGCGACGGAAGTAGAATAATTTGGTTTTTAGAGTAATGATCATTTTTGAGAATTTTTTCCATATTTCGTTTGTTATTGGTTAAAAAATCTGAAAGCTTTTTGTTGAAGCCTTCGACCCGGTGGTTAAAGAATAAAGACTCTAGGAAACACCCTTATATCTAGATTCACTCTGCACCACTATCTTGGCCTGGCCTTTTAAATGTAGCAATAAAGAGGAAATAATTATTTACTAGCAAAGGCTACTAATAAAAGTCGGATTTTATGATAATGATGCTGCTCTTTTCGTCCATAACTTCAATCGCACGCTAAGAGTATCACACTCCCAATGTTCAGCTTGTGCTTTTTTTTTTTGAACAAAATGTTTAGCTTGTGTTTCCTGTGAGATTAATCAAGATTTTGATTTTTGGTGGACACAATTAACAACCCCGAAGCAATATCATTTTTGAATTGTTTATTTCTCCTCCAAGCCATATACAAATTATAGGATTGGGATGTTTTCCAAGCCAACAAATAATTTAGAACTCTAACGAAAAAATTAAACTATGAAATAAACTTGCATATTCATTTTCCATCGAAAAAATATTAAATTTTAATTTCGTTGAACTCAACAGGTAATACGATATTGTTTTTTCAGACAAATATTAATACCACTGATGAGTCAAATGAAAAGTGGGTGTTCTGATCTTTGCAGAATTAGTAATGTTGTTTTAGTTTTAGAGGTTACAAAATTGGTATTAGAAGTAAAACAAGATAGAGTGTGATACGTTCTGGATTTTGAGATGTCAGGAATTATCACGAAAAATTCAAACTAAGATATATGAGACACACAGTCTAAATTACGTATCAAACTCTCGTATTTAATAGATGCAGATGTTAGATAATCCCATTATAATTGCTAACAGGATAATTAAAATTACCCATATGCAGTTAGTAACAAAAATATAATGAAAGGTCTGATAAAGACATATGCCCGGGTTACATATGGGGGTGGTGGTGGTTCAACATCAAATTTCTTTGGCCGTGGGATAAAATGATATTGTTATCTTCATGTAGTAGGGCCTGCGTTAGAAAACATAACATTTTGAGTTACGTATAGGACAAAACAAACTTGGAAATGCGACAAAAGAAAAGACAGATTGGAGTGTGTATTGAGATTGGCATGCTCTGTTATTTAATAATTACTCAAACCAAATAATATTAACTGTCGGCTCATCAACAATTTTGATATCATTTGAATGTGTATGAATTTATTTCATGTTTGCTTGCTCATTAATCAAGAAATAATGAATCGTATATATGACTATATATAGGTACATAGAAATAACGAATCTCATATACCACATTTATGATTTGTGCATCTCGTTGTTGGGAAAATAGGACCATTGAATGTATATCATAAATTTTACTGCAAGATCTAAATCAGTAGGTATATTAAATACTTAGCAATGATTTGGTTATTTCAAAATTTGTGGAAAACATACAATGATACAAAATCTAATCGGGGAAACTCTGTTCTTTGATGTTGGAATGTCTATATTTGTCATATGGTTCTACCTTGCTTCTTCGAAACACTTTTTATTCACTAGTTTAAGAAATTCTGTTAAGACTTTTAATGTTATTTTTAATAATTCTTCTTTTGTTATACTATTAGTTGTTACTTGTTAGAGATGATGATAAAACTTATGCCAACCAAGTTATAAAAACAAGATCAAGGGTGTACACAAAAAAAAAAAAAATCATAATTTTAGTGAGATCTAGCAATGCTAATAAATCTCCTAATTTCATATACTTAAAAATATTACCTCATAAACAACCCAATATTTTCATAACCTATTATATCTTTCAAACATTTTACTGACTCATTTTTATTTCTTATCTTTCTAAAAAATTATACATATATCCAAATGGCCAAATCTCTTGGAGACGTGCATAAACTTTAGTATAAGATGTCATGAGAATTAATCATAACATTCCCTTTTATGATCAGTAAATAATAATCTTAAAAACAGATAAACAACAATAATTATTATGATGGAGTATATGTTGAATAACTAGACATAGATATTAATAATTGCAATCGAATAAAAGATTGATACAGAAAAAAAAAAAAAAAAAAAAAACTTAATGATACTAGAAACAATGATTTTGGCATTCACAGTCAGAGTCACGATAATTAACCTGTCTCCGGTCAACGCTTTTTAGACTCTCTTATTATTCTCTCTCATTTCTCCAAAGCTCTCAAACACACTCACTACTCTTCAAGTCTCTTCTCTCACTTTTCTTTCTCTCTCCCTCTCTATCTCTCTCATCGCCGCCATTGAGACCGGCCGTTTACAGATTTTCCCCTGAGAAAAAGAAGAAGATGTATCTTCTCTTTCTCTTCCTGCTTTTTTCCGCCGTTTTCTCCCTCAACGATGAAGGCTTTATTCTTCAGCAGGTCAAGCTCTCTTTTGACGACCCAGACTCTTCTCTCTCCTCCTGGAACTCCCGGGATGATTCACCTTGTCGGTGGTCCGGCGTCTCCTGCGCCGGAGATTTCTCGTCTGTCACTTCCGTCGACCTCACGGGCGCCAATCTCGCCGGACCTTTCCCTTCCCTCATTTGCCGTCTCTCTAATCTGTCGTATCTCTCCTTGTCCAATAACTCCATCAATTCCACGCTTCCGCTCGGCATCGGAGCTTGTAAGTCTCTCCAGAATCTCGATCTCTCCCAGAATCTCCTCACCGGCGAGATTCCGCACACTCTTGCGGATCTCCCCATCTTGACGTCCCTCGATTTGACCGGAAACAACTTTTCCGGCAACATTCCGGCGAGTTTCGGCCGGTTTGAGAAACTCGAGGTTCTCTCTCTCATCTACAATCTCCTAGACGGGCCGTTTCCGCCGTTTCTAGGAAACATCAGCTCGCTGAAGATGTTGAACCTGTCTTACAACCCGTTCAGTCCGAGTCGGATCCCGCCGGAGCTCGGAAACCTGACGAATCTCGAGGTTATGTGGCTCACCGAGTGTAATCTAGTCGGGGAGATCCCTGACTCGCTGGGTCGACTCACCCGACTCGTTGATTTAGACCTTGCGCTCAACGACCTGGTGGGACCTATCCCGCGTTCGCTCGGCGGCTTGACCAGCGTCGTCCAGATTGAGCTTTACAACAACTCGTTGACCGGAGAAATCCCGCCGGAGCTCGGGAATTTGAAATCCCTGAGACTTTTAGACGCGTCGATGAATCAGTTAACCGGTTCGATACCGGACGAGCTTTGCCGTGTCCCGTTGGAGAGTTTGAATCTCTATGAGAACAATCTCGAAGGTGAGATTCCTCCGAGCATAGCTTTATCTCCCAACTTGTACGAGCTCAGGATCTTCGGAAACCGATTTACCGGCGAGTTACCAAGAGACCTCGGCCGAAACTCTCCGCTGAAATGGCTCGACGTTTCCGAAAACGACTTCTCAGGCGAGCTGCCGGCGGATCTGTGCGAGAAAGGAGAGCTAGAGGAGCTGCTGATCATCCACAACTCCTTCTCCGGCGTCATACCGGAGAGTCTAGGCGATTGCCGGAGCTTGACACGTATCCGGTTAGCCTACAACCGGTTCTCCGGTCAAGTTCCTGCCGGTTTCTGGGGATTGCCACACGTCTACCTGCTTGAGCTCATCAACAACTCCTTCTCCGGTGAAATTTCAAAGACCATCGGAGGCGCATCGAATCTCTCGATCTTGATTCTCACGAACAACGAATTCACCGGATATTTGCCGGAGGAAATCGGCTCTCTGAACAATCTGAATCAGTTGTCGGCGAGCGGAAACAAGCTCAGTGGCTCGTTGCCTGATAGCTTGACGAATCTCGGAGAATTAGGCACCCTTGATCTTCACGGAAACCGGTTTTCAGGCGAGCTATCTCCAAAAATCAAATCTTGGAAGAAGCTAAACGAGTTAAACCTAGCCGATAACCAATTTTCCGGTAGAATCCCAGAGGAAATCGGGAGTTTATCCGTCTTGAACTATCTCGATCTCTCTGGAAACCTCTTCTCCGGCAAAATCCCGGTTTCATTGCAGAGTCTGAAGCTAAACCAGCTGAATCTGTCCAATAACCGGTTAACCGGTGACCTACCGCCGTCTTTAGCCAAAGTAATGTACAAGAACAGCTTCCTCGGTAACCCAGGATTGTGCGGTGATATCAAAGGACTATGTGGCTCTGAGAACGAAGCTAAGAACAAAGGCTATGTATGGCTTCTCAGGTCGATTTTCGTACTTGCGGCTATGGTGTTTGTTGCCGGACTCGCTTGGTTCTTCTTCAAGTACAGGACTTTCAAGAAAGCAAGAGCCATGGAGAGATCAAAGTGGACTCTAATGTCCTTCCACAAGCTCGGTTTCAGCGAGCACGAGATTCTCGAAAGCTTGGACGAAGACAACGTCATCGGAGCTGGAGCTTCGGGTAAGGTCTACAAGGTCTCACTCACCAACGGAGAAACCGTGGCGGTGAAGCGTCTATGGACAGGATCTGTGAAAGAAGCAGGAGACTCCGATCCAGAGAAAGGCGAGAGACCTCGAGCAGTACAAGACGAGGCCTTTGAAGCTGAAGTCGAGACGTTGGGAAAGATCAGGCACAAGAACATTGTGAAGCTGTGGTGTTGCTGCACAACGAGAGACTGCAAGCTGCTTGTTTACGAGTACATGCCTAATGGAAGCTTGGGCGATTTGCTTCACAGCAGTAAAGGAGGGATGTTGGGATGGCAAACGAGGTTCAAGATTATCTTGGATGCAGCGGAAGGGCTTTCGTATCTTCACCATGATTGTGTTCCTCCGATTGTGCATAGAGATGTTAAGTCCAACAACATTTTGATCGATGGAGATTACGGTGCGAGAGTTGCTGATTTCGGAGTGGCTAAAGTCGTTGACTTGACCGGAAAGGCTCCTAAGTCCATGTCTGTGATCGCTGGCTCATGCGGTTACATCGCACCAGGTTAGTCTTTTATGATTACAACTTAATGTGGTTTGATTAGTAATTAGTATTTGCTAAAAAGATTAGATTTTTATTAGTTGAGAGTCATAAATGTGCATTCACTATCTTGTTGAGACATGTCTAAATCATGGCTCCACAACCTTTTGTTTGTTTTCACTTCATAACTCTTTATTTTGAAATTACTTGCAGAGTACGCATACACGCTTCGTGTGAATGAGAAGAGTGATATCTACAGTTTCGGGGTAGTGATACTTGAGATAGTGACTAGGAAGCGACCAAATGCTGCGGAGTTGGGAGACAAGGATTTGGTGAAATGGGTTTGCTCGACGTTGGATCAGAAAGGCGTAGAGCATGTGATAGACCCGAAGCTGGAGTCTTGTTACAAAGAAGAGATAAGCAAGATGCTCAACGTTGGGCTTCTCTGCACGAGTCCTTTGCCTATTAACCGTCCTTCCATGAGACGCGTGGTGAAGATGTTGCAAGAAATCGGCGGTGGAGATGATGAGAGCCAATGCAAGACAAGAGCCGATGACAAGGATGGTAAGTTAACACCTTACTACAACGAAGAAACCTCAGATCAGGGAAGTGTAGCTTGAGACCATTTGTGTTTTTTGCCCCAAAAGCTCTCAATTTTTGGTGCTTGAAGCTGTAAATTAGGGCATTGAAAATCAAGATTCTCCTCCCCTTTTCTCAAGGGTTTTGGTGTAAAAGAGAGAATCAGAGAGATTGTTGTTGAATATTTATAATATATATATATAAAAAGAAGTTTCTAATTCAGGAATTGGTGTTTCATCAGTCTGGTTTTGTAAGAGTTGATTAATGTATTAGTAAATGCAAGTGAAAGTGAAAATGGGACATCTTCTGGTGTTAACATGCATTTAAATGGTTTCCATATTTGGGTGAACAGGTTCTAGGTTCTTGTAGGAACATGTCTCTCTATCTATAAAGCTTGGTCTCTCTCCCTCGTTTTTAGTGAATTGTTGGAGGCTATATGTCACTGTAGATTCACATGGCTCTTAAATTCTCAACTTTTTTGAACTTCAAAAGTTTGTATTCATTTTTTGTTGTAATTTCAGGTTGTGTTATTTCCTTTACTTACTCTCCGTACATATGCATCAGATGTAATAAGACTTGGCATATGAAATGACTAATACCAACTATCCTGCCAAAAGGTAGTTTCTTCAGATGAAATCTGATTGGTTGCCTCTAAATAATCAAATCTGAAGATACAAAATAGATTACGTAATAAATCAGTACACGCAAGAGTTTTGTGCAAAAAAACTCAAACTAAATTATTTTTGCAAGAAAAACTCTTACCTTAAAAAATAAAAAATGTTAAATCACTCACCTCAAAAATCACTCACAAGACCGCAATATAGCCCCTGTATATATTGATGACGTGGCATTGTTAGAATTGTTTTTTGCAAAAAAATCTCAAATTATTATTTTTTTCAAAAAAGTCCTCGTATAAAAAACTGCGTTTTTGATTAGCCCATGCATTTCGGGTTTTGAGACGAGAATTAACGGATATGGACAGAAATGAGAAATTTTGGAAACCAAATATGATACCAAAATATTAATTCATGAAGTCTTACTAAATCGGGAAACTGGAGATATTTTGAGAAATACGGGGAAAATACGGAAATATGGAAAATACGGAAAATTATGGGAAAATATGAGAAAAATTGAGATATTTTCTTTTATAAAAAGAAATATATATATATATATGTATATAATTTTCAATTTTTAAAATTTTAAACGAGAAAATCGAAAAATCATGTACCCTTTCTGAACCCTTCCCTTACCCGTTTGAACGGAATTTCCCATTTGGGAACATTTATTTTATTGAAACGGGTAAAGAAAGGGTTCGAGAAGGATACATGACTTCCCGATTTTTCTTTTTAAAAAATAAATTTGAAAAAAAATAGTTTTTTTCTTAAATTAACTTCCCGACTGCAATTAGTCTGCTCTTAATAATGACATTGTAAAAGTAAAGATAACTTCTGTAGTTGAGAGTGCAAAACAAAACAAAAAACATTGACATCTCACCATTATCTATGTAGATAAATTCACATAAGGTCATTTTAAGATACATAAATAGGTAAGCAAATAATCTAATTATGAGCTGTTGGGTGAGGGAATTGGAAGTGGGCCCAATACGCATTGAAGCCCACATTGGTAGTATCATTCATTATGGGACATTAACACCTCACCCTCATCTTTGCCTTGTCTCTCTGTCTCTTTCACTCTCTAATTCATAAACCATTTTTGTTTTCTTTCCCTCTTTCACTCTCTAATTCTTTTGCAGTTTCCTTTATGTTACTTGTCAACATGTTTGCATGATAAAATTTATTAATAGAGATTCCACATGATTTATTCTTTGTCTATAATAAGTGTGACTCTTCCATTTTTATTTTGATACCTTTTTTTTCAAGGTTACTAAGCAAATTCTCTAATTTATTATAGTTTTGTATTGTCTTGCTAAAGCATATAGGTCGTGGATATTGAATAATTTACAAGAAACAAAAATATTATTATAGTGAAAAGCATAATAGGGACCAGGTTTGATAGATAAGGTCAGGATTGCGAAATGATAACATACATTATATGAGTAATTGAGTATTATGACCCACAGGCACACGGTACACACCCACACCTTGGGCCATATGGCTTTTAAACGGGCCTATCGGACCCACCTGGTTATTTTTCAACATTTTAACAAATCTTACACATTGACTTCTCCAATTTGTCTAAGGCCCATTACAAAGGAGATTTTGTACGTCAGATTAAGAATCTATGCTTTCAAAATCTAGGTTTTCAAAAATTTGTTAGCAATTTTCTTTCTTATGTATTGAAAAATTAGTTAATTTTCTTCTTTGAGATAAATGAAATATTTATCGTAAATTTAATATTTTTCCGAGAAATAGAAGAAAAATATGTACGCACATAATTAAATCTTCAGGCTATAGCTTATTATATACTCTCTCCGTTTCATATTAGATGTCGTTTTTAGAAATGTATCTGGATGTATTTAATTCAAAAACACATTCATATACATTTTAGATACATTTATAAAAACGACAACTAATATGAAAAGTGATTGGTTTCTTTGTTTAAGGGGGGTGTATTGAATTAGAGATTTGGAATGATTTATGGTGATTTGATGTTTAGAGAGTTTTTAGATGATTTTTTTGTGAATCATAGAAATTATAGTAATTTTAGTTAAATCATTCTAAAATCCCATCTAAAACCATGTGATTTGAAGTCTCTTATTTTTAACAAAGAAATTTCACCAAATCACTCTAAAATCAACTCTATTTTTTATAATCCACTTTTAAAAACATTTCCAATAACATGGATTTGAAAATGGATTTTAAAATCACAAGTTCAATAACACTGGATTTTAAAAGGATTTTCAGAATTCAAGTTTGAATAACAGAAGATTTGTCTTTTTAATACAAATCACCCTAAATCACTCCAAATCTCGGTTTCAGTACACACCCTAAGATATATTTCAGATATATTTCTTTGTTTAAGAGTTATTTATTTTACAAGTTTTGAAGTTCTTTTCTTTTTTTTTTGTTATTTTGTGATTTTAAGAAGAAAAAGTATGAAATTTTTTTTCTTTAGATCTCCCAGGGCATTCAGATATGAAACAGAGAGAGTATGAACTTTTACTGACTATAAATATCTCCTTAATACGAATACACAAAAACACCATTACGCGTACACAAACACACATTTTTCACACAAAACAAAAGAACATAATATATATATATATATATATATATATATATATATTTTAAATAAAGGGTTGTCTAAAACAAAACACAAAAACAAAAAACAAAAACAAAACACATAATCATCATGACTCATGAGCAACATAACAAGAGCAAGTAACTCGATGCTCGTGGCAATATTTCTAGCATGTGTGTTAATCAGTAGCTTAACCATGACAGCCGGAAGAGTAATTGGATATCCAACATTAAGACCTGGCATTGTTCGTAAATGTAATGGTAAACATCCTGCCTTGTGTCGACCCCCAAAACCGGCGAGTCCATACCGTCGGGGATGTGAAACGGAGACCAGGTGTAAACGTGGTCCACCTCCACGCTTGAACAATATGCATAGTAGTTGATCGTAAATCTACAAAGATGCATTTATGATTTTAATGTAACTGTATACTTTAATCAATGAATAAATTAGAAATTTCAAAACTACACATTTCTGTATGTCAATTTTCAAAACTATACCTCTAATATGTTTATTTTCATACTACACATTTTTCATTGAGTAAAAAGAACTCTAAATCGTAAAATATAAATACTAAACTCAGTGTTTTTAAAACCGGACCGGAAGGCGAACCGATAAAAACTTTGGGTCATGGGTTAATGCGGTTCAACCGGGTTCACAATATATATATATTTTATTTTATTAATACAGATATATAACAATTATACTGTAAGTATATATATTAGGCTTATTAGCCATTAATGCCATTTACTACTTTTATATTTTGTTTTTTAAATATACTTTACACCAAAAATAAAACACAAAACATAGAAAACCCTAGTTTTCTTTCCCAAAAACCTCCGCCGCCCATCTCATATTCTCTCGACTCTTCTCCTTCTTTCTTCTCCATTCATCTTCTCTCTTTTCTCAAGTTTCTGTAAAATAGTTGTTCCATTTTTGTTTGTTTCTTCTTGACATCTATAGTTATTTGTTTTTCTTTGTAGTATCATTCCATATCAGTAGCAAACATGTGGAAATTGATCAAAGAAAATCAACACAAAACTGTGAAAAACATAGAACAATATCACGAAAAACTCAAGAATTTCTAGAACCGGGTTTTAGCCGTTCACCGGTTCACCGGTTCTAGCCGGTTTTTATCCGAGTTTTACCCATCACCGGTTTTGGTAGCAAACCAACCCGGGTAACCTTCCGGTTCACGGTTGAACCGGTTCGACCGGCCGGTCTGATCCGGTTTTGAAAACACTGACTAAACCTTAAAATTTAACCGTGAACCCTTAAATTTAAACCCTAAACCTCAAAATTTAAACCCTATTCAAGGATTGATGAACCAAAACTTATATATTAAAACTAGAAAAATATAGTTTTAAAAATTATCACATTAGATGTATAGTTTTGAAAATTGACACTCCAAGAAATGTATTTCTTAAAATTTATCATGAATAATTCTATTCTTTTTGCTTTCCGTCACTTTAGTCTCCATAAAATACTGAAAATGTATAACGAGGTTTATTTAAACTATTTTTTTCGGTAAAAATATTAAGTTTTATACAATTTCCAAATTGTGACAGAACTTACAAAATTATAGTTTGCTACATTTTTGTATGTGACGTTTTGACAGTTCAAATATACGTTCTCAGTCGCACTCTTTGATGGCCAAATTTGTATGTACTAGGGTTTTACCTTATTAATTTTGTAGCCTTCTGAAAAAAGTGGTTTTACCTTATTACATATTTAAATAAAAATTATTGTTTAAACAATTCGTTTTTCTTTCAAAGCTTTCTCAGTAAGCTTATTAATTTGTGTTCTGTTCTGTTTGTTTCGTTTCTCCATTTACTTTTTTTTT